GGAGTCTGCTTCTCCCTCTGACCCTCCCCCCTCTCATGCTCTCTCTCTATCTCATTCTCTCTCAAATAAATAAATAAAATCTTAAAAACAAATATGTGTGTAAGCTAGTTAATATTTGTAAATACTTGGAGTACATTTTGGTCACTGAAATTAACAGTTGGCCTTAGAGATGGCCACCAACAGCACTGGCATCACCTCTTGAGAAATGCAAGTCACCGGGCCATACTCCAGCCTTAGCGAGTCCGCATCTCCACAGAGGGAGCTCAGAAATCTGTTTTGACAAGCTGACCAGAGGATTCTGACGCATCATAAACGTTGTGAAGCCCCGGTCTGAGTTTCCGCGGTTTTTAAAGCTACCCAAGTGGTAAGTTGGAACAGGAATGGAAGGAGAATCAGAAAGGGGCAGACGGGTTTAAGTAACAAGTAGGGAATCAAGACCCGCAAGAGGGGAGTGAACTTGCCCAAGGTCTCCCTGCAAGAAGCTATGACACTCTAAGGTTAAACTCCTCCAGTGCACCACAGCCCCCAACTAGTCCCATGGTCTTAGGCAAGCCGTCCTGTTTCCTAATCTGTGAAATGGGAGCAAAAGCCAACCTAACTCCAGGGGTGACTGCGAAGATCCCATGAGACCCAAATATGTCAACTACAAAACACCGGCCCGCTGGGAATAGGGGCTGAACTACAGTGATCAACCAACCCCAGGCCCCAGAGCCTGAGATGCCTGCAAGGCCCTGGGCCCTCGCCGGGCGGATTTCCCTCTAAGAGGTCCTTGATAAAATAAGACTCCTCCGGCAAATCACGGGGGCGGGGGGGCGGGGGGGAGGAAGATTTAGGGAGAAGTTCAGATCTCTGGGCTTCTTGCTTTGGCTTAAGTGTGTGCATTAGCCTCTCGGTAGGCTGGTTCATTTGATGGGGGGGCCAAGTCCCACTAGACAGATCACAGGAGCGCTGCTGCCCGCTTTGGGCCCTTTAGACCGCTGGAAGCCCGTGCTGCGCCCGGCCAACACACGAAGACTCTGGCCGGGCCTCTACCCAATTCAGGCCGGCCCTCCAGCGGCCGCTGGGTCCCACCCGGGATGCGCCTCGCGCCACCGCCCACCCCGCAGGCCGAACCATATAGCCCGGCGGCTCCAGACGCAGGCCCAGGGCGCCCGTCCCGCCTACGCGCTGCGGACTCAGCCCCGCGAGAGCGGGAATCGCAGGCTTCTCCCACTCCCGCACGCGCTCGCTCAGCTCCCCGCCCCGGTGCCGGGAGCGGCCAATGGGTTCCTGAAGTGGCTGTGTTCCTGGCCAATGAGGGCAGACACCGCCCTCTCGCCTCCTGTTGGCAGGACCAAGAGCCCGGGAGTGCTCACTTCCACTTTCCCCGAGGGAAGAGAGCTCGCGGGGAGCCGTCCGTGCCACGTCTTCTCAGCTCTTGCGACTCCCGAGGCAGCGGTCACCGGCCCCGTGGACACGCTCCGCGTCTGTGAGTGGTGCTCTGGTCCTCAGTGGGACGTGGAGCTCTTAGGGGTGGTTGTCAAGAGCACTAGGCAAAACCTTGGTCCTGAGCCAAGAAGTTTTGGGGGTAAGGAATAAGCAAGAAGTTTGGGGGTTAAGGGATAAGCAGCCTCCCATTGTAGGAACCTCCTTCCCGCCCCCCACCCTCAAAGATCAAGACTTTTCCTCCTAGAAAGACACCTGGATATCAGCTAGGAAGCTGTTTCAGCTACCCTGTTGTGTGCCTGGGCATCAGGAGAGGGGGATGGGGGGGATGTGGAGGCGGGAACGTTCTGGG